CGGGCTGCCGGCTCCCCCACTGATGGGGGCAGGGCTTGGGCTGCCAGCCCAAAACTGCCCAGCCCCGCTCTCCCTGGGCTCAGGCTGCCAGCCTCGCGCGGAGCGCTGGGGTTCGGGCTGCCGGCTCCTCCGCTGACGGGGGCAGGGCTCGGGCTGCCAGCCCAAACTGCCCAACCCCGCTCTCCCTGGGGCTCGGGCTATCTGCCCTGCAACCGGGTCCCACCTGCTGCCTCCAATGCCTGGGGTTCTCTGGCCGCCATTAGAGAAATTTTTCTGGCAAACCCCCTGTAACGTTCTGCAAACCCCCAGGGGGTTGCGAACCCCAGTTTGGGAACCACTGACAGATGTACAGAACATAAGTTTTGAGTACAATGCTGTTGAGATTCCTCTACAGGATAACACTCCCTTACACAAATCAATAAGGTTTATAACCCATCTAAAAAAAAACAACAACTAGACAATCTAGAATTGGAAGGAGTTAGTTAAGGGTATCAAAGGCCTGGATATTATTTGTGGAGATTTTAATAGCCATAATGAATTGTGCGGAAGCAGGAAAACTGATTATAGCGACAAATGCCTGGAACAGTTCTTTGAACTGCACAACCCAGTATTGAGCAATACCAGAGCACCTACTAGGTTTAATTCTGTGAATAGAACCTTTTTATGTTTAGATCTGAGAATAGCAAAATGCAATATAGAATGTAAATGCAGCTGGGAAATCTATAGCGAGGCCAAGGTAATGTTGAAAACACTTAAGAAATTCCTACCTAGAGCCTTAGAAAGGCAAACTGGGGACTCTAACAGTAAGTATGCTGAATATCTAATATCCAATTGTATCAGTGATAATCTAGAGGAATTTCATGATAATACAATAAAGGGAGTTGTAACAGCAGCCCACCTAGCTATATGTAAAACATCAAACTGCCACAAACTCAGAAATCCAGTTCCCTAGTAGAATGAAGATTGTCTAGCAGCAATTAAAGAAGTATATACAAACAAGTAAACAAATATATAAACAAGCAAACAATACAATGAATAGCAAGGACTTAATGAACTATAAAAGATGTAAAGCAATGGCGGAAAGAATGATTAAGAATGTGAAGAGAGCTGGCGAGAGTATTGTGAGAAAATGAACAAAGATTCAAAAGTTTCGGAGACATAAACAAGTTAAAAAAAATATCAGAGGGGGTAGCCGTGTTAGTCTGTATCCACAAAAACAATGAGGAGTCCGGTGGCACCTGAAAGACTAACAGATTTATTTGGGCATAAGCTTTTGTGGCAAACTATACAAAGACGTGATGCATATAGCTCTCTCACATCCGGTGTGGGAAACATTATGAAAAGACTGATAAATGGGAGATTAGTAGCATACTTGGAAAAAATGAAATTATAAACTGTGTACAAAGTGGTTTCAGGAATGGAAGATGCATAGTTGATCATATTGTAAGATTAGAAACAAATACAAAACAGATTTTGATAGCTGTCTTTTTGGACACTGAAAAACATATGACATGCTACGGAAGGAAGCTTTATGTATAAAGTAGCCACAGTTGGAGAAAGAGGAAGAATGTTTTGGTGGATAAGAGACTGCTTAAGTGGTAGAACCATACAAGTCAGGTGGGGGCAGGTTTGTCGAATATTTATAAATGTACTAATTGCATTTCAGAGGGGAGTGTTATCAGGCCAACCCTGTTTAACATTATTATTATTATTAATGATCTCCCGGAGAGTATACAGGAGGGAATAGATATTAGTCTATTTGCAGATTACTGTGATATATGGGCCAAATATAGAAGACTTAAGATAGCTGTGGAGAGAACCAATGAGGCACTTGGGAATTTCAGAATGGGGAGATAATTGGGGATTTAGGTTCTCACTTGCCCAAACAACGGGAATGATCTTCACCAAAAAGTAAGACTGGGGAAGAACAGAACCTCTCTATACACAGAAGAAAAAAAAATCAGTTCAAAATTTTAACATTCTTAGGAGTTATGTTCAATAAACTAACTTGGAAGGGTTATAGATAAAAATCAGGTTTAACTGTAAAGATAGGATGAATTTGCTTAAAAGTATTGCTGGGAACAACTAGGGTACAGATAAGAACAAACTGTTGATGCTGTAAAGGGCATTAATAACACCAGTTATAGATTATGGATACCAAGACTTTAATTCAACTTCTAAAATCAACACTAAAAAGAAAAAAATTTCATCAGAGCTGATCCAAGCCCAAGCTCTGTGACTCACATGTTGTGCGAGTATTACGACTCTGGACTCTCATGTGTGCTGCAGGTAGCAACCTGAGAAATGCCTAGAAATTTAAGGTAGAAATTGTTAGATTTAAACTTTTGAGCTAAGATTAATGGAAATAGCAAAGATAAGATAAGATGAGATACTAAACAAATATATGAGGTGACAAAGTTCCTCCTCTATCTTGGTGGGTCCTGCGCTTATTGGCGGATTTTCCTGCCTCAGAGATTCACCATTGGGCTGTTCCCCAACCCATGAGACCTTCCCCTCTGGAAGAACCCACAGTCCAGGTCAATTGGGAGGTTTGGGGGGGTGGGGGGGGGGCACCCTCTACTCCGGGTTCCAGCCCAGGGCCCTGTGGACTGCAGCTGTCTATAGTGCCTCCTGTAACTGCTGCATGACAGCTACAATTCCCTGGGCTACTTCCCCATGGCCTCCTCCAAACACCTTCCTTATTCTCACCACAGGACCTTCCTCCTGGTGTCTGATAACGCTTGTGCTCCTCCGTCCTCCAGCAGCGCACCCTCTCGCTCTCAGCTCCTTGCGCCTCTTGCTCCCAGCTCCTCACACTCCCACCCACAAACTGAAGTGAGCTCCTTTTAAAACCCAGGTGCCTTAATTGATTCTAGCAGCTTCTTCTTAATTGGTTCCAGGTATCCTAATTAGCCTGCCTGCCTTAACTGGTTCTAGCAGGTTCCTGATTACTCTAGTGCAGCCCCTGCTCTGGTCACTCAGGGAACAGAAAACTACTCATCCAGTGACCAGTATATTTGCCCTCTACCAGACTCCTGTACCCCACTGGTCTGGGTCTGTCACAGTAGACACAAACTCCCACCTGTGAACAGGGTCAAAAGGTGGGTTAAAAGGAAGGTCTGGAAGAAATTAAAATCCTTAGTCATGGGAAATCAAACTATAGCAGGATGGTTTTCTCCCCAGTTGTGGATTTGAAATTATATGATACAACAAAGGTAAGAGTAGAACCATCAAATAAAACAGCTATAATTTAAGAGTTTATACATGGCAAATGGGGTCATCATTGCCAAACCTATACTGACTGCTCTAGAGATAAGAATACAGTTTGGGAAGGGCCTTTTGTATCCCTGAATCTGAAATAAAGAGACCTATGAGACTATCCAATTTTGTGGCCATTATGACAGGTATATCAAGTATAAGGGTGATTAGAAAGGAAGCCTCGGAAAGCAGGACTGGTTCAATCAATTATTCTTAACTAAAGAGAGTACAATTGGGTATACCTATCATAATAGTGTGGATTGCAGTGCTTGCTGGGATACTGGGCAACAAAATGGCAGATAAAGCAGTGAAAAATGCCTTAAAATGAGGAGATTGTCATAAAGAGCCCTCTGAATATACAGGACTTCAAAAGTTTAAGAGAGAACTTCAGAGGGAATGTCAAGAATTATGGACCAAAGAGGAAAAAAAAGGACAAAGGTCCTATGAAATATGTCCTAAACTTGAGGATAATGGTATACTTAATAGCTATGATAGAAGAAGTGAAGTAACTATACATTTAGAGGGCTAACAAGTCACTGTGATCTGAATGGTAATTTATATTTACTAAACAAGCACAAAAATAGGTTATGGACACCTGCAAAGTCCAAGAAACAGTGAAGCATCTGCTGTGGCAATGCAGGGGCAGTTACATAGAAAAATTCTTTATGAAGAACTGAGATGCACCCAAGGTGAACAAATATATTCTGAGTACTGGGAAAGTGGGGCAGTATTAAAAAAGAATTTATTTGATTTTTTAAGGATACAGGACTGGGTGAGAGGATATAGATTTTGCTTATGTAAAAACTGCTGTAAGTGGCAGTCATAGCCTCATAGACTGAGGCTGCTGCACCATAAAACAGGAAGCAGATAGAAAAAAGAAAGAAGGTGGTTTCGGGGAGAGAGAAAAGAATTTTGCATTCACTCCTCAGGTATAAGAGAGTAGCAAGACCCTGAGGGTCGAGGAGGAAGTCTAGGAAGAAGGTTGGCCCTGGAACCCTCTTATGGGTAGAGAAGTTTAGCAAGAGGCCAGGTGAGAGAGAGTGCAGCCACTAGGACTGAACAAGCTTCAGTGTGGTGAGCTCTGATAAAAGGGCAGGATCTGGACTTTCAGTAAGAGAGCTCTGGCAGGTGGTTAACTGAGGGACTGTGTAAGGGAAACTTAGGAAGGATGAAAAGTGAAGACGGGTTAAATTGTACACTTGGTATGAGATTTACTGGCGGATTCCAGGGGGAAGATCTGGCCCTGAAAGGAGGGTGAATTTAGAGAGGTTGTGAGAGAGACCTGCTGGCAGACTTGGTAGGAAGAAGTCCAGAGAGGCAGCAGTAAAGAGTCTGACATGGTAGACTTTGGCTGCTGGTTGTAGGGTCCTTGAACTGGAACCTAGTGTAGTGGGAGGACCTGGGTTCCCCTGCTAGCCACCAGGGAAGATGGCATGAAGCCCCTGATATAAGTGGAAAAGGACTTTTGACAGCCCTGAGATAAGCAGCTCTAAGGAGCACAGTAGGCCAGAATCGGGGCTGAAGACCTTTTGTAAGGACATTGGATTATCTGTTGGACTTCACTACCATAAAAGGGGTGGGATCTGGCTGGAGAGGCTGAGTCACAAGAAGAGGCAGATCACTACAGGGCTTGAGCAACTGTCGGCAGAGGGTGCTAGAAGAGAGCCAGCCCAGACATGAGGGGATGCCCTTGTACATGCCTATACGCTATCTGGTTTCTGAAAAGAGGACACCAGCCCTGGTGCTTTCTAGAGACATTTAATTGATCACTATATCCACATCCATCATCTTTAAGCCCAGTGCTTCTGGGTTTCAGTTTGCTTGTAAAATGTGGTGAATTCTGGGACTATTTAATAGAGGGTAAATCTTTTCAGAAAGATAACATCAATTTTCACTGCTCCCCATGAAGACGGAGATCTTTGTCCTGCTGTACTGTCCACTTTTCTTCATCCCCAGAATTACTTGGACTCAATAACAGAGCTCGTATGTATCTCCCCTGTGTAAATGCCATACTGCAACTGGTCATCCTTCACTGTAGCCCAAGACATCTGCTTGGTGGAGAACCTTGCTGCCCAGCCCCCTGAATTGCTGACAACTATGACACCTCCTAATCCACCCACTCTTGTTTTCATATAATTCAATGCAGTGTCAGCAGCGTCCACCGGTGACATTCCTGAAAACAAGAACACAGAAGAGTGATGCTCATGTAGTATCTGCTTCTGGTCCTATTGAAGTCAATGACAAAGTACTCTTCAGACTTCACTCTGTGCAGAACCAGGCCCTCTATATTTCTTTTACTGAATGCCCAAGAAGTTACAAGTGCAATGGCTGGAAAATGCTTTGTTTATGGGAGGAATGTGAACAACTGCAAATAGCTTCTATGCTGTAGTAATACTGCAGAGACAGGGTTTATGTAGCTTCCCATTATTCTGAGGTTTTAGTCTTTTTGATCTAGCATATCTGGTGAACTTTGTAGTTCAGTGACACATAATGGGACATTTTTGAAGGGTGGTGGTGGTCACTGTTGGCAATCTGCAAATGTGCCACTAGCAGCGGCCTGCCAGGGAATTTGTCTAATACACTTATGACGAACACTCACAATAATTCACAGAGTGACAGTTTAAGGCCAGGAGGGACCATCAGATCATCTAGTCTTACCTCCTATATATGACAGGCCACCAACCTCCCCAGCACCCACTCAAAACCCAACAACCGAAAGTAGACTAAAGTATCACAGCCCTTAGGAGATTAGACTATTACAAGCCACAGGCAGAGAATAGGAGGGATTGAAGTGCACCATGCCTGAGGCCCCCCACAATGGCAGGTAAATGATTGAGATATACCCAGATAATCCTGGCAAATGACCCACACCCACAGGCTGCAGAGGAAGGCAAAAAAACCCAAACCCCAAGGTCACTGCCTATTTGACTTGGGTGAAAATTCCTTCTCAACCCCATATATGGCGATCAGTTAGACCCTGAGCATGTGAGGAAGAACCAGCCAGCCAGCCAAAACCCTAAGAGAGAATGCATGGAGAATTGAACTGAAACGTCACTGTGGGAACCCCTACAAAAAGTAAGACCAATGAACCCTGAGGAGCTAAGAGTGTGAATTCTGTTTGTGATAAATTTTGGTAATGTAGACGCTGATGCTACTGTGGGTGCAGCCACTGTTGGTCAGGATCTGCTATCAGCCTTCATATTGTTACCAAACTATGCACTGATGACACCAACAGCCAAGATCCTTTACCATACTCAATCCCTTCTAATGAGAGCACTTTATAAACAAATTGAAGAACACTTTGTCCTATGCAGAAGTCTGTTAATAGTTATGTCCTTGTTCACAAGCTGTAACCCTTCATTTGTCTCCAGAAATGCCGTAGTGCTTGGTCTTAATACTGTGAACTAAAGCAGCTGTAATGTGAGAGAGAGAGAGAGAGAGAGAGAGAGAGAGAGTGTGTGTGTGTGTGTCTACTGACTATATGCATTAGCCCTCCTTCAAACTTTCTGTGCAAAAAAAACCATAATAGAAACTATTCACAATCTTTGCCACTGCAAGTTGGGAATCCATTCTCTAACCTTGTGGCAAAATCCTGACTACTGAAGTCAATGGGAGTTTTGCCACTGACTTCAACAGGATCAGGATTTCATCCCGTGACTTTTCACCAAGGCAACAGCTGCCACCATAAGGCAGAAATTCCAATAGCTGTTAAAGATTTTTTCCAAACAAGTCACAGATTATACATGACAAGAAGAACTTACGTGAACTTGCAATACTTGGCACCCAGCAAAATGGAGGAAACTAATTAAAACACACTGTTCAAAACATTCCTTCAAATATTGAGGAAACAGAAATAAGACTCTCCCCAAATGAAAGATGTTAAGGGAGAGCCAGCCATTCTTAACACTTCATGGATGCATTATATGCAACACTGGTATTCTAAAACACTTGTTTCCTATTTTTAGTAGTCTGAATCCTATTTTCAAAAATAAACTAAGCATTTAGGAGCCTATATCACACTGACTTTCAATGACATATAGGCTCTTAAGTCACTTAGACACTTCTGAAATTTTTTCCCTAAGTGTGCGCACAGGCTTATTTTACGGTTCTTAAATATTCTGCTTCTGTTGGCAGCTCAAGTGCTCAAAGTAGAAATAACGAAAGGAGTGAGTTTTGGCCCTTTCTTGAAATGCTGAGGAATTGCTCATTTGCTGGGGTCTTTGCCTGGAAGCTGGGTTGCTCCTCAGCATTTCAGGGAAAGCTGAATAGCGGCAAGCTAACAATGAAAGGATTTCTACACACTAAGAAATTTAGAAATGTTTCAAAAGGGTTTTAGTGTGATTTTCTTCTCAGGCTAATGTAAATCAGGTGCAACTCCACTGAAAACAATGGAGTTACTCCAATGTAAAACCAGGGCATGTGAGAAAAGAACCTGGCTCAATTCTTTCTGGTAAATTTAAGATTGGGAGGCCATTTATGAAAGGAATGAACTCCAGTGAAACAGGACAGTGAGGTGGGGCTGTGACATGTCAGGGCTTTGGGGAATAATCTGTATGGAGTATTATATTTTATACTGATATTTTCTCTTGGCGCTGCTAAGAATGAACCATGAATAGCATATGTTGGGACCACAAAACATGTAGCAGTTACAGAAATCTTCTCAGCTGCTACTTGCCTTCTTGTTTCACATTTCTCTTATGAATAGGAATGTAAATGAAAAATGGTTTACTGTAATTCATATTCCGGTAAGAGTATCAAAAGTTATTGCTCATTAATACTTGCTAACCATAGCTTTCTAAAATTAGCAGTGATGTCTACATTAATGGTTCTGTAACTGCGTGCAGTACAAGTATGTTGTCTGACTGTTTACAGGCTGTAATATAATCAAGGGTTTGGATGACATCCTAACTGATGAAGGTAAAGCTTTAAAGAGTCATCCACAGTTAGATTGTGTTACAGTCAGATGAGACACTCCATGCCAGCTGTTTACCACATATGCACCTGGTCTACTTGACACACAGTTTAGTACACTTGCCAAAACAAAACTAAAATGCAGTCATATGAATTCCTTTTTGAATAGAGAGAAAAAGGTTGTAAAATTTCTATTGCTACAAGCAATTCAGTCCTATGAATTGTTAGAACTTGTGGAGTCTCTAAACTTCTTGTGTTATGGAAGCTTTGCACTTTCCTTTATTTGTACTCTTTTTGTTTTTACTAATCCTTGCTTGCATTTGCATTTTTCCAATTCTCTGCTCATGAAATTACTTAAAAATGTAAAAGAAAGCTTCAGTTAAACATAAAATAATTTATATGAATAATGATATATTATGATGCTGTATCTAAAACATAATGGAACAAAAATATCCACACTACTTGATATTCAAAGAACACAGTTGGAATTTATTTGGTTTGCACTTTTAGTCCTGCTATTTTGTGTGTGCTTTGAGATAATCCAACCAAAAATGGCCAGGAAACCAGTTGTTTTTTTTTTTTTTGGGGGGGGGGGGGGGACAGGAACTGTATTGCTAAGAATATAATTTACATAAACCAGTTAGTTCCGGTATTACTTTCCTTCATCTTAACTGGAAAGTTTAGATTGTACCTTGTTCCATGTGATAGAGAATAAGTCGGGCTAGGACCACTTTCATCATGCTTTCTCCATGTCCTGTGGTAGAGATGGCACCAACATGGTTATCAGCATAGCCTCCACTTCCTGCTCAAAGAAAAAGTATGATACTAAAGCTTTAGGGCAAAAGAGATTTACAAGCAATGCATGATTTCAAATCACAGGCCAATTTCTAAAGTTCTGGAGGTCCTGTTGCTTCTAGGAACAAAGACCTGAAAGTTCATATGTGACATCTTTGTTTCTGATTTCTTCCTCAAAGTTTCAACAACAGTGTGAGAAGTCAGTCACAGCTAGAAGAGGTTGGTTGCCGAGTTATAGGGTTGGAAAGATAATGGCATAATGGGGGAAGGAGGAATAATGGCGAATCTGATGTTGGAATAGAAAGGAGTGAGCATTAATAGTAGCCAGATCAATAGCAGGTAGATGGAGGAGAGGCATGCAGGAAAGACAAAGGTGGAAAGGCAGGCAGGGTGATGGTGGGGAAAATAGGAAGCAGGAAGTGGAGGATGTGAGGCAGTTAGATCTGCACTGATGACTGACTGGTTAGGGAGGTGCACTGCAGGAATGTGCTGACCAATGGGCAGCAGAGAGGTGGTAAGAGCTCGCCAGGTAGCAGCACTAAGATTCCACTGTGACAGAGCATGGGAGAAAAGCCCAAACAGAAGAACTGCTTCCAAGTTAGCTTTGTAAATTCAAAAGGCTGCACTGACCCAGAAGTGCAGCAAACCTGCTGATATCAGAGGACCTCCAGGTGACATCATTTAAGCAACAGGTGTTTGTGCCTCTCTGTGGGTCACTAGAATCAGTACCAAAGTTAGGGTCCTACAGCCACCTGATATCCCAAATCTCAGCTAAAACAACCACTCACTGAACAGTTTGTTTTTTTTTAAAGTCAATCTAGTGCTCACAAATGGTGCAATTAATAGTTACAATGTCAGGAGCCATGGCAAACAAAGTCAAATTATCGTTTGCTTATGCTTTTAAAATTCTTTGAATTAAAAAAAAAGTAGAAAATCTTGCATTCAGAAGAGACATGGTTTCAAGCATGCTCCTTTTTATGAATGTTGTGCCTCCCCCAAAAAATGAATCTTAAAAAAGCCACACACCGATGATGCTCTTGGAGAGAAAAAAGTCCTGGCAGATAATATTTTTGAACGGGAAACTCCTGTAGGCCCCTTGAGGGTCACACAGTTGGTGCTTTATTCCTGCAGACCACAGTGGAGACACAGGAGAATGACTCCATGTGGGTAAGTACATCATCCTTGCCAAGCATTAGGAGACTGGTTAGGTGCCTTAAGATGTTGTTCAGGGGTCAACCAAAATCTCTCCCCCTCCTGCAATCCTATTTTGGCTAACATCTGCCAAGCCTAATAAGGCTCTTTGTGAGTGCAGGTGTGTTTTGAGGGATCCCACTGAGACAATTAAGGCAGATCAACCCCCAGATAGTGTCCAAAGACTTGTGGGGGGTGGGCCGTGATGCACCTCCTACGTAGCACAGAGTGATGAACCTGAGGTCCTCAGGAGAAGCAGAATGCTCTCAGGCTGCTGACCCCCCTTCCCATCATCACCACTACTTCATTCCGTGCCCCCTTATCCACTGGCTCCCTTCCCTACCATTCTCTACGCTGGTCATCTCCATTGTATCTGCTGAGGCAGTTATTTGCCATGGGCTTTTGGAGGTGCATAGGATAGGATTACTACAGTTAGTATGGAGTTTAGGATGGGGAGCAGCAGAGAGTGAAAGGTTTTCCTCCTTCCCACCCAAAAAGGGATACTCAAGTTCCCTCCCTTGATTAAATCTGGACCTCCCAGAAGATCCAATATGCACTGAAAATGTTGCCATATTCTATTCTACAACAAGTTTGGAACATGTTTTACTAAAAATATTGTTTTTCCAGTTTCTGGTTCCATGGGAGAACGATGTAGCAATCACCAAATACAAGCCTGTCCCGTTAGAGGAATTCACTGGAGAATGGATTAAGAGTCCCTTTATCTACAGATGAGAGAACACTTATAACATTTCCTCTATTCTGCTCCCAACCATCATGCTTTCCATGGCTCTTTATGAACAGGAACTTATTGAGAGAGTCAAAGCTTTAAATAAGAGTGACTTAAGTTGCCAGTCATGTTAGAGACTTCTAGTCAAATTCTCATTGCTCTAATGAAACTCCAATGACTGCAATTGGAGTTGCACCTGATATACAATGGTATAAATGGGAGAAGAATCTGGTGCATTTGGTTAATTTTTCACATTAGTTTTTACCCTTTTCTTTGGGAGACACCTGGATTAAACACCATCTGAGCAACTAATAGAGCCTTAGAGGGGAACAGGTTGCAATTTTGTCCGTGTTACAAGGGAACATAGCAGATGAGTTCTTGGTTTTTGCATAAGAGTATCACAGTATAAGGGACATGATAGGGAAACCCCAGACCATACTGTTTCCAGAAAAAGGGGGAATGTCTCCTATTTCTGTTTGTTCAGACCTACCAGAAAGCTGGACAGTAAGTACAAAACATCTACCCCACCTGCAGCCTTCTAGTTGCATGGAAGGAGCAGTCGCTAAAAGGATAAACTGACTCATTTTAGTATGCTTTAATTTAAGCCTCAATTCTAGATCAGTTAGTGTCAATATTTCATTTTAATCATAGAAAATGTGAGTGTTAACTGATTCATTTACCCGTACCTATGCATGCTGAATCACCGACTCGGCCAACCAGTTTATTAGTGAGTCCCCCAGTGGATGTTGCACAAGCTACGTTTCCTTCATTGTCTATAGCAACAGCACCAACTGTTCCAGGGTCTCTGCCAACAATAATATTTCACAAAATTAGGCAGGGTTAAGAATACTTGCCAAAGCATGTTGTGTCCATTCTGCAGGTAGCTTTTACAAATGTGAGATTACAACAGAAGTCTACAATTGAATGTCATTAACTTTAATCTAGTCTCATGTCAGAATCACTTCATTTTCATATAATTGTGTTTTTTTAATGTAGAGAGTTTCATTATGAAATCCACTATCCATTTCAGATAACAAGCAATATGTAACAATTCTGACACAGTATCAACCTTATAATTAATAGCACAGATGTCAAATTCTTGGCCTGTTTGATCTATTTATCTGATCTCCCCATGATAAATTTATATGCTACAGTATGAAAGCTTTCATTTGGAAAGAATATAAAAATTCCTAGCCCTCCTGACTGTGAAGATAATTTTTCAAATGGGACACACTGAAGCTCTGAATTAGCCTGAAACAGAAACTCAGAAGTGGGAACTGCCTCCACTGTTCCAATTGGAGGAGAGCTCTAAAGCCTAGTGATGATACATGCAAAAAGAGAAATGAATAAAGAAATAGCAGTGGTCCTAAAAATGCCATGCATCACTCTACCACATAGACTGGTCAGCCCACGCCGCTTCCTACAGCTCCCATTGGCCGGGAACGGTGAACCGCGGCCACTGGGAGCTGCGGGCGGCTGTGCCTGAAGATGGTCAACGTAAACAAACTGTCTCATGGCCCGCCAGCGGATTACCCTGATGGGCTGCGTGCAGCCTGTGGGCCGCAGGTTGCTCACCACTGCTCTAAAGCCTAAAATGTCGGAATCAGTGTGAAGTGATAGAAACAGCTACAAGCAGGGCTGAGAACTCTTTATTCAGAATATCACCATGTTGAATCATCACTGAGTTTTGCAGTCTGTTGCCATCCTGTTTTTATGTTCTCAGCCCTTTAGACTTTACAAATTACACCCAGGTGGTGTACAGCCTACAGTAAGACATGTATCTATGCTATGCCAAGAGTCCTAGACCACTGTGATATTGGAGGTAACTCAATGATTTAACCACCCTTACACTTCAGCTAATTTACATGCAACAGTTGCATTGGTTGTATGAGGGAGATGGCAGAGATGGCGGATTTCTTGGCCCAGCTGCCACAGTCTTTCCAAACCACCCACCCAACACAACCAGCACGCATAATCCTAAATACACACACAGCCCCTTAGTGCAGTGCACATCCCTCACTTGCCACCCCACAAATCAACGCATCTCCCACCACAACCCCCGAGACCTGAAGCAACACAACCAGCATACACAGTGACCACATACACCATTCTGAAGTCTGAGTCAGTGCAAAGTGAGTAAAACAGCTACAAGAATGGTTGAGAAGTCTTTCGATTTAGAAGATCACCAGGTTCAAGCCTCACTGGAATTCGTGGTCTGTTACCCCTTAACTAGTAGCTGAAAGTCCATGCTGTTGCATGGTTGTAATTCGTTAAGAATATATCCTCATCCTGTCTACAGCATGAACTTGGCTGACCTCTGAGATGTACTTAGTGTCATACTACTATACTAATTAATAAAATAGCTAAGTAACAATACATAATACATTCTTTCTATTAAAGAGTCTTTGCCCCCTTCCACTGTCACAAGATTGAAGCTCAAACAGTTAGTATTATTGAACCCCACTCCCCACTGAAAAGGTCAGTCATTTTGATAGTTGGTTATTCTCCCTACTATTTTCCCCTCCCCCCATTTTATTATTAAAAAGTTTCTTTCTTTCAAATGTCTTTCATTCTGCTGCTGTCTCCTACCCTCTCCCTCTGCTAATGGCTTTGTTTTTCTCCCTCATCCCCCCAGAACTGGTTTTTAGGCTATTTTAGCAATGCATTTTTAACCACCATTCTTTCTGGTCTGCTTGTTTTCTCAGTGACCAAGTACCACTGCCAACCCCTGAAGAAAGGAACTATTAGCCAAAATTTTGTAGATTATAAATTAATTGTTTGATCCAGTTTAAAACAAATCTCAGTCTATCTTGGTTATGCAGACGTATGGATAGATATTTATGTTCTGCCAGGGTCTGGCTGTTGGTTTAGCAGTGGAGACAGTGCCTCATTTAAACCGCAGCTTGTGACGTTATTGACCTAAACTGGGACCATATAGATCATTGTTGCAACCAAGGTCCTGTAGTGGCACCCAAATCTTGTATAAAGGGGGTCAAATGGGGTGTCTAGGACAAGGTTATGGTTTACTGGTTATGATTATGCTGTCTATATGTATGTATCAGTTTTGTAATCGAAGTTATGAATATTGGCTCTATATTGTCTGTATGGCAAACTTATGCTATGCTTCTGGGTGACATCCCAGACAAACTGAGA